AGAGACACAGGGAGAGACACAGAGAGAGAGACAGAGAGACAGAGAGACACAGAGAGACACACAGAGAGAGACACAGAGAGACACGCAGAGAGAGACACAGAGAGATACAGAGACAGAGATAGAGAGACACAAACAGAGAGACGCAGAGAGACACACAGAGAGAGACACAGAGACACACACACAGAGACACAGAGAGACACAGGGAGAGACACAGAGAGAGAGTCACAGAGAGAGACACAGAGAGAGACACACAGAGAGACACAGAGAGATACAGAGACAGAGATAGAGAGACAGAAACAGAGAGACACAGAGAGACACACAGAGAGAGAGACAGAGAGACACACAGAGAGAGAGACAGAAAGAGAGACAGAGAGAGACACACAGAGAGACACACAGAGAGACACAGAGAGACACAGAGAGAGAGAGAGACACAGAGAGACACACAGAGAGATACAGAGACAGAGATAGAGAGAAAGAAACAGAGAGACACAGAGCGAGACACAGAGAAACACGCAGAGAGAGACACAGAGAGATACAGAGACAGAGATAGAGAGACACAAACAGAGAGACGCAGAGAGACACACAGAGCGAGACACAGAGAGAGAGACACAGAGAGAGACACAGAGAGACACACAGAGAGACACAGAGAGAGAGACAGAGAGACACAGAGAGACACACAGAGAGAGACACAGAGAGACACACAGAGAGAGACACAGAGAGATACAGAGACAGAGATAGAGAGACACAAACAGAGAGACACAGAGAGACACACAGAGAGAGACACAGAGAGACACACAGAGAGACAAAGAGAGAGAGACAGAGAGACAGAGAGACACAGAGAGACACACAGAGAGAGACACAGAGAGAGACACAGAGAGACACACAGAGAGACACAGAGAGACACAGAGAGAGAGAGAGACAGAAAGAGAGACACACAGAGAGACACAGAGAGAGACACAGAGAGAGAGACACAGAGAGACACACAGAGAGACACAGAGAGACACACAGAGAGATACACAGACAGAGATAGAGAGACAGAAACAGAGAGACACAGAGAGACACACAGAGAGAGACACAGAGAGACACACAGAGAGACACAGAGAGAGAGACAGAGAGACAGAGAGACACAGAGAGACACACAGAGAGAGACACAGAGAGATACACAGAGAGACACACAGAAAGACACAGAGAGACACAGAGAGAGAGAGAGACAGAAAGAGAGACACACAGAGAGACACAGAGAGAGACACAGAGAGAGAGACACAGAGAGACACACAGAGAGACACAGAGAGAGACACAGAGAGAGAGACACAGAGAGACACACAGAGAGATACAGAGACAGAGATAGAGAGACAGAAACAGAAAGACACAGAGAGACACACAGAGAGAGACACAGAGACACACACAGAGAGACACAGAGAGACACACAGAGAGAGAGAGACAGAAAGAGAGACACACAGAGAGACACAGAGAGACAGAGACACAGAGAAAGAGACACAGAGAGACACAAGGAGAGACACAGAGAGAGAGACACACACACAGAGAGAGACACAGAGAGACACACAGAGAGACACACAGAGAGATACAGAAACAGAGATAGAGAGACAGAAAGAGAGACACACAGAGAGAGACACAGAGAGACAGAGAGACACAGAGAGAGATACAGAGAGACACAGAGAGACACACAGAGAGAGACACAGAGAGAGAGAGACACAGATACAGAGAGAGACACACCGAGAGACACACAGAGAGAGACACAGAGACACACACAGAGCGACACAGAGCGACACAGAGACAGAGATAGAGAGCCAGAAACAGAGAGACACGGAGAGAGAAACAGAGAGAGACAGAGATAGAGAGACAGAGCCACAGTTTGTGTGTCTGTGTGTGTGTGAGTGTGTCTGTGTATGTGTGTGTGTGAGTTTGTGTTTGTGTGTGTGTGTGTCTGTCTGTGTGTGAGTGTGTCTGTGTGTGTGTGTGTGTCTGTCTGTGTGTGAGTGTGTCTGTGTGTGTGTGTGTGTCTGTCTGTGTGTGTGTGAGTGTGTCTGTGTGTGTGTGTGTCTGTCTGTGTGTGAGTGTGTCTGTGTGTGTGTCTGTCTGTGTATGTGTGTGTGTGAGTCTGTGTTTGTGTGTGTGTGTCTGTCTGTGTATGTGTGTGTGTGAGTATGTTTTTGTGGGTGTGTATGTGTTTTGTGTGTGTTCGAGCGGTAGTGTAGCGGTTAGCGGTTAGCGCTACGCTGCGCTATGAACCTGGCGACCCGGGTTCGATTCCCGCTCACGGCCAACACCAGTGACGATTATTTGAACCGGTCCTGGGCCTCCCCTAGGTCGACTCAGCCTCAAATGAGTACCTGGTGTGGTGTGTAAACATCGTCACTAGGGAGACAAAGGCGGTCGGGCGTGGTGCTGGCCACCGACCCCATCGTGTACCGTTCCGGCCTTCATAGGTGGTGCTCGCTAACAGCACTTGCCCCTACAGTCTGTTAAGGCTATACGGGGGATCTTTATCTTTGTCTTTTGTGTGTGTTCGAACTCTCACTGCGGAGGAGAGGTTGCCACTCCTCTGTCGGGAGCTGGACCGGTACCGCCTGGATCTCTGTGGCATTCTGGAGGTCCGGTGGACCGGCTCTGGCTCCTGCCACCATGAGGGGTGGACAGTCCTCTACTCGGGGCAGCAGACTGCCAAACAACAGGGAGTGGGTCTTCTTTTGAACAAAAGAATGAAGGGGGCGTGGGAGCGTGGCGGTGAGGTGTGGGAAGCTGTAAGTCCCAGGCTACTTTGGGCTCGCCTTCCCATCAACCGGAGGCGAGGAGTGGTGGTCGTGGTTACTTATGCCCCCACCGAAGATGAACATCCGTGGAGGGATGCAGGCAAGGCCGATGAGTCAGATGCCTTCTATGACCTCCTGTCACAGGTGCTGGCTAAAGTGGCCCCTCGGGATAGAGTCATCATGTTGGGTGACTTCAATGCCCGAGTTGGTCATGATACTGGCACCTGGTCTGGAGTGATTGGAGGGCATGGGCCAGATCAGCTAAATAACAACGGTAGGAGGCTGCTAGATTTTTGTGCAGCCCATGGGCTTGTAATTACCAACACGCTGTTCCGGCATCGGCGCATCCACACAACATCATGGATGCATGCCGGGTCCAAGCAAGAACATCTGCTGGACTACATAATGACGGACCAGCGGATGGGAGCCCATGTCCTTGACACCAGGACCTACCGTCGAGCTGATCTGCCCTCTGACCATCGACTAGTCATCTGTAAGATGCGCCTGCCATTCTTCCACTCTGGTGGTGGGTGTACACCCAGGACCCCATTCCAACCTAAAGTGGCCTGGTCTCAGTTATCTGATGAAAGTTGCAAGCGAGAATTTCATCATCGCTTGCGGCTGGGATTGGCATCGTCCCCGACTCCTCCTGATGTCGAGGGTAAATGGGCGAGGTTTAGGACTGTGACTCATGCAGCTGCAATGGCTGCTTTGGGTACGCGGTCCAGACCTCCCCAGACACCCTGGATGACAGAGGAGTTGTTCAGGATGGTTGAGAAAAAGCGACAGGCCCACTGTCATCGGCTACAGAATCCCACGTCAGAGAATGAGGAGGCTTACCGCAGCCTTCGCTCGGTGGTTCGGAGAGCCGTGAGGCGCTGCAAGGATGGGTGGTGGTCGCGGGTTGCTGAGGAGATGGAGTCTGCCTCAGTGGCCCGTGATCACAAATCTCTATTTAACTCCATCAAAAAAGTAACCTGCAGCGCCACACCTATTACCATCATTAGGGGAAAGAACGGTGATCCAATCTCTGACCCTCAGGAACAGGTTTGTAGATTTGCTGAGCGTTTCTGTGAGGTCCTGGGCGAGGGGAATCCCTTTGCCAGGAAAACATTGTGGCATAAAGTGGGGATGACCCTGCTGAGGCTGCAGTGCCTCAAATATTGGAAGAAGTCACCCCCTGTGAGTGGCTGGCTGAGGTGCCATCTGTTGAGGAAGTACTGAAGGCGATCCGGAGTCTGAGACCAGGAAAGGCACCGGATAGAGATGATCTCCCAAGCGAAATGCTGAGGGAGGGTGGCGTTTGTGCACAGACTGCCCTATATGACATCATAACAACAGTCTGGACCACTGGACGGGTTCCGCCGGATTGGAAGGATACCCTGGTGGTCCCCCTCTTTAAGAAGGGGGACCGCACAGACTGTAACAACTACAGGGGCATCTCACTCCTCAGTGTGCCGGGAAAGGTCCTGGCAAGGATTATTCAGCATCGCCTTGCCAGGCACGCTGAGGAGAGGCTTGCGGAGCCCCAAAGCGGTTTTAGGAAAGGGCAGTCCTGTACAGATGCCATATTTTCTGTCCGTCTGCTACAGCAGACGTGTAGGAAATTCCAACAAGACCTACATCTCTGCTTTATTGCCCGGGTAAAACTTCGTGGCCGGGAGTCCGAGCCATTCCCTGTACACCTTGGGGTGCGACAGGGATGTCCTCTGGCTCCCACATTATGTAATATCTATTTTGACCACGTAGTTCGTGATGCCTTCAATAGCTGTACCGGGGGAATCTCCATATGGTACAGATATAATGGGAGGCTGATCGATGCCCGGGTGCGGTCAAGGGATGGCTCCCTATTGCTCAACCACGTTATGTATGCCGATGATTTGGTAATAGCTGCTCAGTCAGAGGAGGAGTTGGAGACGCTGCTGCTGAGACTGGAGCGTGCCACTAAGAGGTGGGGCCTAACCATCAGCCCCACTAAAACTAGGCACCTGCCTGGGTATTTAGTACCATCGAACACTCCACCCCCACAACTCCCAATCGGTGATGGGGCAGTTGTGGAGAGAGTGGAGAGTTTCCCATACCTGGGTAGTGTGCTTAGGACCGGCTCCAGTCTCACTCCGAATCAGTGGAGCTGAGTGGATTGCCGATGACTGGTACCAGCGGTGTCAAGATCGGCCTCTGTGGAGGAGGCTCGTGAAGGACGCTACTGGGCAGTTGGAGGCAGTCGCCCTCCAACAACAACGGAGGGTGGAGGAGCGACGCTCAGAACAACGAGCGGAGCGCCGGGTGGCTAAAGCACAGCAGGTTGGCACAGTAGGGGGTACAGGTGGTGCATCAGCCAGTCATCTCAGTCAGTTGACCCGTGGCACCTGGGTCTGCCCCGTGACCTCCTGCCAGCGGGCATTCGACACTTCACGTGGCCTCAGGTTGCACATAGCCTGGCACAAGCGTCGTGGTGACGTCACCGCCACTTAGTGGCGAATGGCGGTTGTTGTTTTATGTGTGTGTATGTGTACTGCATGTATGTGTACGTATATGCACGTGTATATGACTACACTACTATACACTACACTACTATACACTACACTACCATACACAACACTATACACTACACACTACTATACACTATACTATACACTATACTATTCACTATACTATTCATTACACTCGTATACACTACACACTATACACTACACTACTATACACCACAATATACACTACACTACTATACACTACACTATTCACTACACTCTTATACACTACACACTATACACTACACTATACACTACACTATACACGGCAACATACACTACACTATTACACTATACACTACACTCATATACACCACACACTATACACTACACTACTATACACTACACTACTATACACTACACTATACACTACACTATACACTACACTATACACTACACACTACTACACACTACACTGCATGTACGTGTGTACGTACGTGCACGTGTGTGTGTGCGTGTGTGTGTGTGTGTACGTGTCCGTGTGTGTGTGTGTATGTGTCCGTGTGTGTGTGTCCGTGTGTGTGTGTGTGTATGTGTCCGTGTCCGCGTGTGTGTGTGTGTACGTGTGTGTGCGTGTGTGTGCGTTGTGTGTGTGCGTGTGTGTGTGTGTGTATGTGTCCGTGTGTGTGTGTACGTGTCCGTGTGTGTGTGTGCGTTGTGTGCGTGTGTGTGTGTATGTGTGTGTGTGTACGTGGCCGTGTGTGTGTCTGTGTGTGTCCGTGTGTGTGTGTGTCCGTGTGTGTGTGTGTGCGTTGTGTGCGTGTGTGTGTGTGCGTGTGTGTGTGTGTGTATGTGTCCGTGTCTGTGTGTGTGCGTGTCCGTGTGTGTATGTGTCCGTGTGTGTGTGTGTGCGTTGTGTGCGTGTGTGTGTGTACGTGTCCGTGTGTGTGTGTGTGTGTCCGTGTGTGCGTGTGTGTGTGTACGTGTGTGTGTGTGTGCGTTGTGTGCGTGTGTGTATGTGTCCGTGTGTGTGTGTGTATGTGTCCGTGTCTGTGTGTGTACGTGTCCGTGTGTGTGTGTGCGTTGTGTGCGTGTGTGTGTGTGCGTGTGTGTGTGTGTACGTGTCCGTGTGTGTGTATGTGTCCGTGTGTGTGTGTGCGTTGTGTGCGTGTGTGTGTATGTGTGTGTGTGTATGTGTCCGTGTGTGTGTGTCCGTGTGTGTGTGTGTCTGTGTGTGTGTGTGTCTGTGTGTGTGGGTGTGTCTGTGTGTCTGTGTGTGTGTCTGTGTGTGTCCGTGTGTGTGTGAACACTCACCCATGCGTCGGGCTAGCTGTCCGAACTTGGCGAACGTCTCTAACTCGTCCCTGTCCATGTTGATCAGAGCGTCCACAGACACCACGTAGACTAAACAGTGCACCCGGTTCTCGGGCACCACGGAGAAATTCACCAAATTGCCAAACTGCGAGCGGAGGAATGGGGGAGTGAGCGTGAGAAGCAGGTATACACTACACTATATACTACACTATACACTACACTATACACTATTATACACTACACTATACACTATACACTACACTATATACTACTATACACTACACTATACACTACACTATACTATACACTACTATACACTACACTATACAATACACTATACTATACACTACACTATACACTACACTATACACTACACTATACACTACTATACACACTATACACTACACTATACACTACACTACTATACACTACACTATACACTATACACTACACTACTATACACTACACTATACACTATACACTACACTACTATACACTACACTATACACTATACACTACACTACTATACACTACACTATACACTACACTATACACTATACACTACACTATACACTACACTACTATACACTACACTATACACTACACTACTATACACTACACTATACACTACACTACTATACACTACACTATACACTACACTATACACTACACTACTATACACTACACTATACACTACACTATACACTACACTATACACTACACTATACACTACTATACACTACACTACACACTACACTATACACTACACCATACACTACACTACTATAGACTACACTATACACTACACTATACACTACTACACACTACACTATACACTACACCATACACTGTACACTACACTACTATACACTACACTATACACTACACTACTATACACTACACTATACACTACACTATACACTATACTATACACTACACTATACACGACACTGCACTATACACTACACTATACACTACACTACTATACACTACACTATACACTACACTATACACTATACTATACACTACACTATACACTACACTACTATACACTATACACTACACTATACACTACACTATACACTACACTATACACTACACTATACACTACACTATACACTACACTACAATCTACACTATACACTACACTATACACTACATTATACACTACACTCTACACTACACTATACACTACACTATGCACTACACTATACACTACATTATACACTACACTATTCACTACACTATACACTACACTACACTACTACACACTACACTATACACTACTACACTATACACTACACTATACACTACACTATACACTACACTACTATACACTACTATACACTACACTATACACTACTATACACTACAATATACACTACTACACTACTACACTATACACTACACTATACACTACTACACACTACACTATACACTACACTATACACTACACTATACACTACACTATACACTACACTATACACTACACTACACACTACACTATACACTATACACTGCACTACACACTACACTACTACACTACACACTACACTATACACTACACTATACACTACACTATACACTACACTATACACTACACTATACACTATACACTACACTATACACTACACTACTATACACTACACTATACACTACACTACTATACACTACACTATACACTACACTACTATACACTACACTATACACTACACTATACACTACACTACTATACACTACACTATACACTACACTATACACTACACTATACACTACACTATACACTACTATACACTACACTACACACTACACTATACACTACACCATACACTACACTACTATAGACTACACTATACACTACACTATACACTACTACACACTACACTATACACTACACCATACACTGTACACTACACTACTATACACTACACTATACACTACACTACTATACACTACACTATACACTACACTATACACTATACTATACACTACACTATACACGACACTGCACTATACACTACACTATACACTACACTACTATACACTACACTATACACTACACTATACACTACACTATACACTACACTATACACTACACTACTATACACTATACACTACACTATACACTACACTATACACTACACTATACACTACACTATACACTACACTATACACTACACTACAATCTACACTATACACTACACTATACACTACATTATACACTACACTCTACACTACACTATACACTACACTATGCACTACACTATACACTACATTATACACTACACTATTCACTACACTATACACTACACTACACTACTACACACTACACTATACACTACTACACTATACACTACACTATACACTACACTATACACTACACTACTATACACTACTATACACTACACTATACACTACTATACACTACAATATACACTACTACACTACTACACTATACACTACACTATACACTACTACACACTACACTATACACTACACTATACACTACACTATACACTACACTATACACTACACTATACACTACACTACACACTACACTATACACTATACACTGCACTACACACTACACTACTACACTACACACTACACTATACACTACACTATACACTACACTATACACTACACTATACACTACACTACACTACACACTACACTATACACTACACTACTATACACTACACTATACACTACACTATACACTATACACTACACTATACACTATACTATACACTACACTATACACTATACTATACACTACACTATACACTACACTATACACTACACTATACACTACTACACACTACACTATACCCTATACTATACACTACACTATACACTATACCATACACTACACTACACTATATACTACACTATACACTACACTATACACTACACTATACACTACACTATACACTACACTACACACTACACTGTACTAAACACTACACTATACACTACACTACACTACTATATACTACACTACTATACACTACACTATACACTACACTCTACACTACACTATACACTACACTACACACTACACTATACACTACATTATACACTACACTATACACTACACTATACACTACACTACACTATACACTACACTATACACTACACTACACACTACACTATACACTACACTATACACTACACTATACACTACACTACACTATACACTACACTAAACACTACACTACTATACACTACTATACACTACACTATACACTACACTACACTATACACTACACTATACACTACTATACACTACACTATACACTACACTACACTATACACTACACTAAACACTACACTACTATACACTACTATACACTACACTATACACTACACTCTACACTACACTATACACTACACTATACACTACACTACTATACTCTACACTATACACTATACTATACACTACACTACACACAACACAACACTACTATACACTACACTATACGCTACACTATACACTACACTATACACTGCTATACACTACACAACACACTACACTATACACTACACTATACACTACACTATACACTACTACACACTACACTATACACTACACTATACACTACACTATACACTACACTATACACTACACTATACACTACACTACACACTACACTATACACTATACACTGCACTACACACTACACTACTACACTACACACTACACTATACACTACACTATACACTACACTATACACTACACTATACACTACACTACACTACACACTACACTATACACTACACTACTATACACTACACTATACACTACACTATACACTATACACTACACTATACACTATACTATACACTACACTATACACTATACTATACACTACACTATACACTACACTATACACTACACTATACACTACTACACACTACACTATACCCTATACTATACACTACACTATACACTATACTATACACTACACTACACTATACACTACACTATACACTACACTATACACTACACTATACACTACACTATACACTACACTATACACTACACTACACACTACACTATACTAAACACTACACTATACACTACACTACACTACTATATACTACACTACTATACACTACACTATACACTACACTCTACACTACACTATACACTACACTACACACTACACTATACACTACATTATACACTACACTATACACTACACTATACACTACACTACACTATACACTACACTATACACTACACTACACACTACACTATACACTACACTATACACTACACTATACACTACACTATACACTACACTACACTATACACTACACTAAACACTACACTACTATACACTACTATACACTACACTATACACTACACTACACTATACACTACACTATACACTACTATACACTACACTATACACTACACTACACTATACACTACACTAAACACTACACTACTATACACTACTATACACTACACTATACACTACACACTACACTATACACTACACTATACACTACACTACTATACACTACACTATACACTATACTATACACTACACTACACACAACACAACACTACTATACACTACACTATACGCTACACTATACACTACACTATACACTGCTATACACTACACAACACACTACACTATACACTACACTATACACTACACTATACACTACTATACACTACACTATACACTTAACTATACACTACTATAAACTACACTATACACTACACTATACACTACACTACACACTACACACTACACTACACTATACACTACACTATACACTACACTATACACTACACTATACACTACACTATACTATACACTACACTATAAACTACACTACACTACTATATACTACACTACTATACACTACACTCTACACTACACTATACACTACACTACACACTACACTATACACTACATTATACACTACACTATACACTACACTATACACTACACTACACTATACACTACACTATACACTACACTACACACTACACTATACACTACACTACTATACCCTACACTATACACTACACTACACTATACACTACACTATACACTACACTATACACTACACTAAACACTACACTACTATACACTACTATACACTACATTATACACTACACTATACACTACACTACTATACACTACACTATACACTATACTATACACTACACTACACACAACACAACACTACTATACACTACACTATACGCTACACTATACACTACACTATACACTGCTATACACTACACAACACACTACACTATACACTACACTATACACTACACTATACACTACTATACACTACACTATACACTTAACTATACACTACTATAAACTACACTATACACTACACTATACACTACACTACACACTACACTACACACTACACTACACTATACACTACACTATACACCACACTATACACTACACTATACACTACACTATACACTACACTACACACTACACTACACACTACACTACACACTACACTACACTACACACTACAACACACTACACACTACACTATACACTACACTATACACTACACTATACACTACACACTACACTACACACTACACTATACACTACACTATACACTACACTATACGCTACACTATAAACTACACTATACACTACTGTAAACTACACTATACACTACACTATACACTACTATACACTACACTACACACTACACTTTACACTACACTATACACTACACTACTATACACTACACTATACACTACACTACACACTACACTACACACTACACTATACACTACACTATACACTACACTATACACTGCACTACACACTACACTACACACTACACTACACACTACACTACACTATACACTACACTATACACCACACTATACACTACACTATACACTACACTATACACTACACTACACACTACACTACACACTACACTACACACTACACTACACTACACACTACAACACACTACACACTACACTATACACTACACTATACACTACACTATACACTACACACTACACTACACACTACACTATACACTACACTATACACTACACTATACGCTACACTATAAACTACACTATACACTACTGTAAACTACACTATACACTACACTATACACTACTATACACTACACTACACACTACACTTTACACTACACTATACACTACACTACTATACACTACACTATACACTACACTACACACTACACTACACACTACACTATACACTACACTATACACTACACTATACACTGCACTACACACTACACTACACACTACACTATACACTACACTATACACTACACTACACACTACACTACACTATACACTACACTATACACTACACTATACACTACTACACTATACACTACACTACTATACACTACACTATACACTACACTATACACTACACTATACACTACACCATTCAGCGCACTTACATAGTAATCTTTGGGAACCTTTCCACACAGAATACTGCTGAAGAGATCGATGTTGTAGACACCAGAAACCCATCCCACAGTATCCATCAGTCTGATGGATGTCTTCTTGATCCTTTCTTGGTCCAGCTCCTCCATCTTCAGCTGCGGGGAGACACGGAGAAGTAAGAGAGCTACACTACACTATACACTACTACACTGTACACTACACTATACACTACTACACTACACACTACACTATATACTACTACAATATACACTACTACACTATACACTACACAATACACTACACCACACTATACACTACACAATACTATACACTACTATAAACTACACTATACACTACACTATACACTACACTATACACTACACTATACACTACACTACTATACACTATACACTACACTATACTCTACTATACACTACACTATACTATACACTACACTATACACTACACACTACACTGTAAACTACAATACACTACACACTACACTATACACTAAACACTACATTATACACTACACTACTATACACTACACTATACACTACACACTATATACTACACTATATACTATAGACTACACTATACACTACACTACACACTACACTACACACTACACTATACACCACAATATAGACTACTATACACTATATACTACACTATACACTATACACTACACTATACACTACACTATACACTACACACTACTATACAATATAGACTACTATACACTATATACTACACTATACACTATACACTACACTATACACTACACTATACACTACACTACACACTACACTATACACTACACTATACACTACACACTACACTACTATACACTACAATACACTACACACTACACTATACACTACAATACACTACACACTACACTACACTATACACTACACTACAATACACTACACATTACACTATACACTACTACACTATATACTACAATACACTACACACTACACTATACACTACACACTACACTATACACTATACTATACTACTATACACTACACTACCATACACTACACTACTATACACTATACACTACACTACTATAAACTATACACTACACACTACTATACCCTACACACTACTATACACTACTATACACTTTACACTACTATACACTACTATACACTACACTATACACTACACTATACACTACTATACACTACACACTGCTATACACTAGTATACACTACTATACACTACACACTACTGTACACTACTATACACTACTATACACTATACAGTACACTACTATACACTATACACTACACTACTATACACTACACTACTATACACTACACTACACACTACACTACTATACAATACACTACACACTACACTACACACTACACTACACTATACACTGCACACTACACTACACTATACACTACACACTACACTACACTATACACTACCCACTACACTACACTACACACTACACTACATACTATACTACACACTACACTACTACACACTACACTACACTATACACTACACTACTACACACTACACTACACACTACACTACACTATACACCACTACACTATACACTACACACCACTACACACTACACTACACACTACACTACACACTACACTACACTACACACTACACTACTACACTATACACTACACTATACACTACACTATACTATACACTACACTATACACAACACTATACACTACACTGTACACTACACTATACACTACACTATACACTACACTACACACTACACTATACACTACACTACACACTACACTATAAACTACACTATACACTACACTACACACTACTACACTACACACTACACCACACACTACACTACACTATACACCACTACACACTACATTACACTATACTATACACTACACTACACACTACACTACACACTACACTACTACACTCCACACTACACTATACACTACACTACTACACTACACTATACACTACACTACACTACACACCACACTACACTACACACTACACTACACACTACACTACACACTAGTACACTATACACTACACTACTACACTACACACTACACTACTACACTACACACTACACTACTATACAATACACTACACACCACACTACACACTACACTACTACACTCCACACTACACTACACTACTACACACTACACTCCACACTACACTACTACACTACACTACTACACTACACACTACACTACTACACTAAACACTACACTCCACACTACTACACTACACTACTACACTACACACTACACTACTACACTACACACTACTACACTACACACTACACTACTACACACTACACTCCACACTACACTACTACACTACACTACTACACTAAACACTACACTACACACTACTACACTCCACACTACACTCCACACTACACTACTACACTACACTACACACTACACTACTACACTACACACTACACTACACACTACACTACACACTACATACTACACTACACACTACACTACTACACTACACACTACACTACACTACTACACTACACACTACACACTACACTACACACTACACTACACACTACATACTACACTACACACTACACTACTACACTACACACTACACTACTATACAATACACTACACACCACACTACACACTACACTACTACACTCCACACTACTACACTCCACACTACACTACTACACACTACACTCCACACTACACTACTACACTCCACACTACACTACTACACTACACTACTACACTAAACACTACACTCCACACTACTACACTACACACTACACTACTATACAATACACTACACACCACACTACACACTACACTACTACACTACACACTACACTACTACACCACACTACACACTACTACACTCCACACTACTACACTACACACTACACTACTACACTACACCCTACCTGTATAGTCTGAGAGTAGCCGTCGTTCTGAGCTTCCATTGCGCGGAAGCTGTAGCGTCCGATGATAGCCGTGTCAACCGTGTTCAAGAAACTCGATTTGCCGTTCCCACTCTTGCCGATCATCAGCACGTTCAGTTTGCCCAGGGCCAGTTCTGAATCCTCGACCGCTCTGATGAAATCCACCATGGAGCTGAACGGGAGATGGACACAGGCCCCCACACACAGACGGGCAGGCAGGCAGGCCAACAACAACAATAACAACAACAACAACCGCCATTCGCCGCTAAGTGGCGGTGACGTCACCACGAGGCTTGTGCCAGGCTATGTGCACCTTGAGGCTATCACGTGGAAGTGTCGAACGCCCGCTGGCAGGAGGTCACGGTGGCAGACCCAGCAGGTGCCACGGGTCGACTGACTGAGATGAGTGGCTGATGCACCACCTGTGCCCCCTACTGTGCCAACCTGCTGTGCTTTAGCCGCCCGGCGCTCCGCTCGTTGTTCTGAGCGTCGCTCCTCCGCCCTCCGTTGTTGTTGGAGGGCGACTGCCTCCAACTGCCCAGTAGCGTCCTTCACGAGCCTCCTCCTCCACAGAGGCGGATCTTGACACCGCTGGTACCGGTCATCGGCAAGTCCACTCAGCTCCACGTCCTCCTGTACCACATCACTCCATCTCTTCTCTAGCCCGTGCCGCGCCCGCTTAGCCCCCTCTATCCGGCCGAACAAAAGCTGTTTCGGCATGCGGTGGCTGGGCATGTGGGCTACATGACCCAGCCATCGCAGCCTTGCCTGCCGGAGGAGCTCACCGATGGGACTTTGTCCAGATCTTTCGAAGATTTGTGAGCTTCTCACACAATCCAGCCTGCAGGTTAAACCCAGGATGGATCGTAGGCAGGCTAGCCGAAATGTTTATAACCGGCGAAGATATTACATTAAGGGGGTCCACGTTTCGCAAGCGTTGCGAAGGGAGGGAATGACCGTGGCCGAAAAGACCTGAAGCTTAGTGCGGAGCGACAGACCAGGTAGCTTCCACACAGCGTTACGCAACCGATGAAAAGATATTGCCGCTCGACTGATTCTGAGTGAGACCTCTGCTGTTAAACTGGAGCCGGTCATGAGCACACTGCCCAGGTATGGGAAACTGTCCACTCTCTCCACAACTGCCCCATCACTAATTGGGAGTTTTGGGGGTGGAGTGTCCGATGGTACAAAATACCCAGGCAGGTGCTTAGTTTTGGTGTGGCTGATGCTAAGGCCCCATCTCTTAGTGGCACGCTCCAGTCTCAGCAGCAGCACCTCCAACTCCTCCTCTGAGTGAGCATAAATTAGCAGATCATCGGCATACATAACATATTTGACCAATAGGGAGCAATCCCTTGACCGCACTCGGGCATCAATCAGACTCCCATTGTATCTGTACCAGATGGAAATTCCTCCGTTACAGCCATCGAATTCTTCACGACTACGTGGTCGAAATAGTTGTTACATAGTGTGGGAGCCAGAGGACATCCCTGTCGCACCGCAAGGTGTACAGGGAATGGCTCGGACTCCCGGCCACGTAGTTTTACCCGGGCCCGCTCACCATCATGAAGGTCCTTAATGATCGTGAGCAGAGGGTCAGGTACTCCAAAAGCACGAAGAATAACTTACTGATGGTATCATAGGCCTTGACCAGGTCAATAAAGCAAAGATGTAGGTCTTGTTAGAATTCCCTACACGTCTGCTAGAGAAAATATGGCATCTGTGCAGGACCGCCCTTTCCTGAAACCGCATTGGGGCTCCGAAAGCCTCTCCTCAGCGTGCCTGGCAAGGCGATGTTGAATAATCCTTGCCAGGACCTTTCCCGGCACACTGAGGAGTGAGATGCCCCTGTCGTTGTTGCATTTCGCTTGGGAGATCATCTCTGCCCGGTGCCTTTCCTGGTCTCAGACTCCGGTTCGCCTTCAGTACTTCCTCAACAGATGGCACCTCAGCCAGCCACTCACAGGGGGTGAATTCTTCTTCCAATATTTGAGACACTGCAGCCTCAGCAGGGTCATCCTCACTTTGTCCCACAATGTTTTCCATGCTGAGGGATTCCCCTCGCCCAGGACCTCACAGAAATGCTAATGAAATCTGCAAACCTGTTCCTGGGGGTTGGAGATTGGATCACCGTTTTTTCCCCTAATGATGGTAATAGGTGTGGCGCTGCAGGTTACTTTTTTGATGGAGTTAAATAGTGATTTATGATTGCGGGCCATTGAGGCAGACTCCATCTCCTCAGCAACCCACGACCACCACCCATCCTTGCAGCGTCTCAGGGCTCTCCGAACCTCCGAGCGAAGGCTGCGGTAAGCCTCCTCATTCTCTGACGTGGGATGCTGTAGACGATGAGAGTGGGCCTGTCGCTTTTTCTCAACCATCCTGAACACCTCCTCTGTCAGCCAGGGTTTCTGGGAATGTCTGGACCGTGTACCCAAAGCAGCCAATGCAGGTGCATGAGTCAGAGTCCTAAAACTCGCCCATTTCCCCTCGACCTCAGGAGGAGTTGGTGGACGATGCCAACCCCAGCCGCAAGTGATGATGACATTCTCGCGTGCAACTTTCATCAGCTAACTGAGACCAGGCCACCTTGGATTTGAATGGGGTCCTGGGTGTACACCCACTACCGGAGTGGAAGAATGGCAGGCACATCTTACAGATGACTAGTCGATGGTCAGAGGGCAGATCAGCTCCACGGTGGGTCCTGGTGTCAAGGACATGGGCTCGCATCCGCTGGTCCGTCACTACGTAGTCCAGCAGATGTTCTTGCTTGGACCCGGCATGCATCCATGATGTTGTGTGGATGCGCCGATGCCGGAACAGCGTGTTTGTAATTACAAGCCCATGGGCTGCACACAAATCTAGCAGCCTCCTGCCGTTGTTAGTGAGCTGATCTGGCCCATGCCCTCTAATCACTCCAGACCAGGTGCCAGCATCATGACCAACTCGGGCATTGAAGTTACCCAACAAGATGACTCTATCCCGAGGGGCCACTTTAGTCAGCACCTGTGACAGGAGGTCATAGAAGGCATCTGACTCATCGGCTTTGCCTGCATCCCTCCACGGATGTTCGTCTTCGGTGGGGGCATAAGTAACCACAACCACCACTCCTCGCCTCCGGTTGATGGGAAGGCGAGCCCAAAGTAGCCTGGGGCTTACAGCTTCCCACACCTCACCGCCACGCTCCCACGCCCCCTTCATTCTTTTGTTCAGAAGAAGAGCCACACCCTGTTGTTTGGCAGTCTGCTGCCCCGAGTAGAGGACTGTCCACCCCTCATGGTGGCAGGAGCCAGAACCGGTCCACCGGACCTCCTGAATGCCACAGAGATCCAGGCGGTACCGGTCCAGCTCCCGACAGAGGAGTGGCAGCCTCTCCTCCGCAGTGAGCGTTCGAACATTCCACGTGGCCACACGAAGTGGCTTTTCGTTGTTTCTGGAGGAGCCCCGAGGGTAGAGATTCAATCTCCTGGCTCCGCCAATTGGGGTTTGGCCAGGAGACGTCATAGACACCTGGCCCCCCGGGGCCTCCGGCACAAGCTTAGTTGTTACATATTTCAGTTTAATTCGTTGTTTCGAGGTAATTAATTGAAGGTGGAGGGGTTACCAGCCCCTCGCACCCGTCCAGAGCCCCCGTGTAGCCCCTGTGGTGGTCACAGACGCCATGAGGGGAGGAGCCAATCGGAATTGGATCTCCCGCCACAGCATTGTCCACGACGGAGTTGCTCGTCCAGCACCAAGAGGAGGTAGGGGGTTGTTTTATCGAACACACGCACACACAGACACACACACAGACACAGACACACAGACACACACACACAGACACACACACAGACACACACACACAGACACACACACACAGATACACACACAGACACACACACAGACACACACACATACACACACACAGACACACACACAGACACACACAGACACACACACACACAGACACACACACAGACACACACAGACACACACACAGACACACACACAGACACACACACACACAGACACACACACACAGACACACACACAGACACACA